GCCTCTGGACACTTGAGTTCACTGCACCTGCTCTACACAGACCCTTGAACACAGCTGGTGGTCAACAAGTATTTAATAAACTAGTGACAGACGGTTACATGTGTGTTTTCATTCAATAAAATAACTGCCTGGGTTACTACAATGGTTCACATCCTGGGATCCCTGGATGAGTTCCCCAGCAGAACTCAATGTTCTTGCCACCAGCAGGGGTCCTGGGCTAGTTGCAGAACTCAGAAAGCCTACAGGGACTATGAGTTTTAGATCAACCAGATTTGAGGATGCTCCTCCTCGCGGGTCAATCAGGAGTTCTGCCTAGAAGTCTCATGCCATTCTCATAATAAACACAGGCCTCAAAGTCTTCCTAACTAAACACAATTTATTTCAGGCACAGTTTGCCAAAAGATGGAGCTGGTGAGGGGGAAAATCACTCAAAAAGGATGCTTGAAGGTAAAATGCCGGCAGCTAGGGAACTGCTGCCTGTAGCCCACAGGGCCTGACAGAGTCCCCAGGACAGGATAGGGCTTGGCATCAGGTGCCCCAGGGCTGGATTTGCTGTTGGTATATTATAGGTAATTTATCAATCTTCGTTGAAAAATCAAGATTTATTCAAACTTCCTCACTTCCGTTTCCAGCATCCACTTCCTTGAGTGCCATCCCTGAACCCTGCCTTGGGCAGACATTCTGCACCCAACAGCAATCACACTCAGGACAAAAGCAGGACACATCTGGGGCAAATGAGCAGAGGGCCCTGACCTCCTACCCCATATGAGAAGGACCTGGTGTCCCATACAGACAAAAAGAAGAACTGATTTTATTCTTAATAAAACTGACACTTCACAGCAATTTACATTCTGTTTATATATTACTTTATGTACTTTTAGATGTTATAGTTTATTAAAATATACTATGTTTATTATATTAAAATTTTCACATATGCAGTGTTGGGCATACAGTAAGCATTCAATAAGTTAAAGTTAACTGAATTCCCTTAAAGATGTTACAGCTAGGAGCGCCTGAGTGGCTCAGTGGGTTAAAGCCTCTGCCTTCGGCTGGGGTCGTGATCTCAGGGTCCTGGGCATAGGGCTCTCAGCTCAGGAGGGAGCCTGCTTCCTCCTCTCTCTCTGCCTGCCTCTCTGCCTGCTTGTGATCTGTCAAATAAATAAATAAAATCTTTAAAAAAAAAAAAAAGATGTTACAGCTAGATACTAAAATCAGCTAGGGGCATACCCACAATAAAGATAGTGAATTAGACAGTCTGAAGCAACTGTGAAGAAAATTCACACTAAAGCACCTTGAGCCTGAAAAGATGGAGAGAGAGAGAGAGAGAGAGAGAGAAAATACATTGGCATCACTGTTATTTCCATATCATTTGGTCTCCATGGATACCATGTAACTTCTCTTCTGACAGGAAAAAATTCACTGACAATATTATATTTCACTATTAAATTCTTTGATGCTTTACATAAAAAAGCTATGCTGTGTTAATTCCTCGCCATTATCCATATACTCTCAGAAGAAGTTAATCCTTTTTGCTGCAAAGTCTGTAAGAGAAAGTCACTGTTCAGTCCTGATTTCCTGGCTTTTTCCACATTAAAAATAATGACAGGATTCTGAAAGTTAATGCCTTACACATTTGTAGATTGCTGTAACTTATATAACCTTCTTTCAAACCCAGTATCTCATCTGTTCCCCAAAGCAACCCTATCAGATAGGCATTTAAGTATTATCATCACCTTCCACAGAACTAACCCCAAAAGGTAATCACCGGTTGTGTATTATCAGCTCACCAATTACAATACAATTTCCACAGAGGGTAAGGAAATTCTTCTCCTGTTCTGAGTTGAACCCGCAGAGCCTAGAACTGTGTCTGGTGCTTACTGAATATCCCAAGAATACTTATTAAATGAATAAATAAGGTCCTTCATCTGCTTTACTCCCTTTTTTGGTGTAAAGCACAAAACAGAACCATGTCCCAGATACCCCATTTAGAGTTCTGCTCTCTATCAAAAGGAAATTGAGCGAAAATGTTCTAGAAACAACAGAGCTCATATTTGATAATCATAAGAATAAAAGGACAGTGTCCCTGCAAACATGAAGCAATGGGTGCCCACCAAAAGTTAAAAATCCTACATCTCAAATGTTCCACTACTCCTTGTGAGGTTCACAGCCTTAACTCGCTTGGTTATATTCAACATCTGCCCAATAAAGGACTCCAGAAGGCAGAGGAATAGAAAAGTGAGGCCATGGTTCATAGAGCTGTTAGGACCTTAGGACAACCATTTCTTTGCCATAATTTGCTTCCAGTTTAACTAAAAACTCTAACTCTTGATTACCATGACATTTTTACAGGTAAGTCTGAAATATGCAAAATTATCTCCAACTTGTGAAGATCAAAAGAAAAAAGACAAGTCACTGAGAATGAAGCATATAAATGTTTAATATTAGGAAGCAATTACAAATCATCACAGAACAGAACTCCTGAATCCAAGAGGCCAAAATCTAACTTCTTACACAACAGGCTGCGTTATAAATTATAATCATTCACTAATTAGGAAATTCCGGACTTTGCCATCCATCAATCAATAGACGTTCCAAGGTTACCCCGCAGAAATGCCCGTTTAATTTCCAAATATTCCATCTCCGAAGTTTCCTTAGAAAAGATAAATTTTTCTAGGATTTTTTAGGTTTTTATTTCTACCCCCTTCCCCCTCCAAAAAAAGAAAAAAAGGAAAAAAAAGGAAGGACATGGCGTTGGGAAAATTAGAGAATTTTGAATCTGTGTGCACCCCGAAGTGAAACAGGGATCCCTTCCAGGTCCTGGTCTGGGAGCGCGCCTCTGCCTGACATCAAGACGACCCACCTTTCGAACTCAAGTCTGTCACCAGACCTCTGTCTGCACCTGCCCAGCGAGCACCAAAAAGTGCAGGCTCCTAAGTTCCAGTGCCATTTGCAATCGGTCTGAAAACTAGTAAATGACGGCAGGCTTGACAGCAGCCTTGGCGATTCCTGAAAATCCACAACAGGAAATGTAACTATCCTCCACCCTCCCAAGCCATTCATCAAAAGCAGACCAAGTCGCAGCAACAGAGAGGCCAGTGACACAAGGCAAACGCCAGCAGTTTTCCTCCTGGAGAAAGACTCTGCGTTTTCTTATTCCGCGACCAAGGACGGGGAGCCCTACCCACCCGCCGCACCGGAGGGAGGAAGCTGAAGAGGGACGGAGCGGCTAAAAAATGTCCCCAAGTTCCAAACACTCCACTAAGGGGTTGCATACGAGTGAACGCCGCCCCGCTCGTGTGCGGCCACCCCGACTGCCAGTCACAGGGGGCACATGTACAGCTGATGCCCCAGGCTTCTGCCTACACCCCCAGACCCGGGCGCGCGCCCGGAACACCGTCTCTGCGCCCAGCTCGGGCTGCCAGCCTCCTTCCCTTCTCCCCCTCTAACAGGGCAAGGGGGTAGGGCGGCAAACGTACCGAGACCTGGAGCCAAAGACAGATGCCGGCGCGTCCTGGCGAGGGGACGTAGTTACACCCAGAGGCCCCTGGAACTTGCAGCGGCTTCCCGAGCCCCTCTCGGGGGCCAGCCCCCAGGCCGGGGCACCGAGCGCTGCCGCAGGCGGGCGGGCGCCACGATTGGCCGCGGCGGGCAGCGCTCGGTGGGCGAGCCGGGCCGGCGAGGCGGAAAGGAAGTGGCGGCCACGGCTGTGCACCAACCACGTTCGGCCGGCGGGCGAATGCCACTCGGCGCCCAGAGCGGGGTCGGAGGGCGTGGGGCGGGCACTCGCGTCCCCACCCCACCGCTGCCCGCGCCCCTGGACCCCCAGGGGACGCCCGCCCCCACGCCTGCCAGCAGGGCGCCGCTCGGTCCCCGGAGGCTCCCCGCCCCCACCTCGCCCGCTCCGTAGCCGAGGCAGGTCAGGCCCAGCGCGCCAGGCCGGCCCGGGGGCGCCTGCGGGGACCCGGCGGCGCCCGGCGCTAGGCCGCGGCCGGGGCGGATGACCCCTCCGCGCGGCGCCCTCCCGGGACGCGCCGCCGGAGCCCCTCCCCGCGCGCCTGGACAAGTGCAGTGACAAAGCCCCCGGGCCAGGCCGGACGCTGGCCGGCGGGAAGGAGGACGCGGCGTCGCTCCGGAGCGGCGCTGGCGGCAGCGGCCCAGTTCCCAGGAAGCCGGGCGTGCCGGCCAGGCCCGGCGCCCAGACCGGCTCGGAGCCCGCCCGCCGCCTCCGGCCGCTGGCACCCGACGCCCGCGGCCGCTCCCCCAGTCCCGCGGGCCGGCGAGCCCTGGGACCGCTGCGGGGCGCCCCACCAAGTTTCCTTTGGCCGAGGCGCCAGGCGCCTCTCCTGGCCGGGGCGCGGGGCGCAGGCGGCGGGGCGGACGGCGGGCTCCTGCTTGTTTTCGCTGGGGCTGCCCAGAGAGAGGCGCCGCCGCCGGACACCGAGAAGGACCCGCTCCCCTCCTTCGGATCTGGTGGCGACCGCGTCTGTAAACACACACGCACGCAGACACATGCACACGACAATTTTGTTTTAAAAGGAGGCCCGACTCCGGCGGACCTGCACCCACACACACAACACCTGGGGCGCAGAATCACACAGAGCAGGTCTGTGTCCATGGAGCCACCTCTCCCCGTCTGCAAATCCAAAAGTGAAATTAAACCTCCACCAACCTCCTCCTCCTCCTCCTCCCTCTCTACCTCCTCCTCCTCCTCCTCCTTGCAGCCTCAGCAGCCCCAGTAGCAGCAGCAACAGCAGCAGAACCTGCTTCCCCTAAAATCAGATGATCCATAAGAGCTCCGACCGTTCTTCCAAAAATCGGTATTAATATTCATGAACCCCAGCATTTTCCGCCTGCAAAACACTGTGTCAAACCATCAGGACGCGCGCGCGCGCGCACACACACACACACACACACACACACACATCCCCTCCAGTCCTCACAAACATGCCCTCGAGAAAAACACACACGCACAGTCACAACTATTATTTGAAAAATGTTACCTCTCGGTGTGCTTTTTCACACTACCAATACAATTCCGCAAGGTTTAAGTGTTGCTAGGGTGTGTGAAATGGAAATGAAAGCCCGTCAGTTGAATAATCGCAGGAGCAAAACTAAAAGTTACTCCCCGGCTTGCCTGAGAACAGTCCAGATCGAAAGCAAAACAAGGAGAGGAAACTGCGAAGAGCTGAGGCTGGAAATCCCCCCACCCCCCGCCCTCCTCCCTGCCTGGCTCCCTCCCTCCCTCGCCTCCCCCCTCCACCCTCCTCCCTCCGCCCTTCCTCCCCAGTGTTTGTTTCAAGCTTGTGCAAGCGGGAGGTGGAGGCGGAGGGAGGGCGCGCGCGGCCAGGCCGGGAGGTGCGGAAGTTCGCCGCCGCCGCTCATTGGCGGGCCGCGCCGCTTTCATCATTTCTCGGAAAAGTCAATTTCATTTTCACTTCCCCACGTCGCGGCAGCAGGAGCAACAAGCGGCTGCTCGTGAGTCTGTTGTTGGCACACCGGGACGCTCCCACTAGCCGCGCACACCATCGAGGCTGGGTGGGAGGGGTGGGGGTGGGGGGGTGAAGGGGGTGGTCCGGGAGCGACCCGGGCGCCTGCTTTGGTTCAGGCCAGAAGCTAGCGTTGATAGGAGAGGAACGCAGGTACCCGAGCCGCCATCCTCGGGGTTACCTGGAGGTTGGGAAGGAAGGAAGGGAGGGGGAGGCGGCGGAGGGCGGCGAGGGGAGCAAAAGGGGCGCTTGCTTTCCAGCTGGTGGGGCAGGTGTGAGTGGTGTTGAGCACCGCTGTTTTCAGGGGGGATGACAATTCACTCTGTGACATGCCCGCCTCCAAGGAATAAAAGGAACAATGAACTGACAAGACAGCAGTACTTCGATAGTCAGGCAAGAACTGGGCCCGCCGAGGACCGGCGACCTTAACCTTAACTGAACCGTCGTCAGGAGTTGAGGGTGTAACCATTTGGAGGGCTGCCGCCATCTCTGGCACCACCTGGAGCTCTGTTCGGGAGCGAGGGCGATAAAAAGGGGTGTCCCTCTGGTCGGTCTACAGCAGCACACGCGAGACCGAGTTATCGCCGGTGCAACAGAAGTTTCTTTAGTGCAGGAGGAGGTGCTCGAGGGTGTGAGTTAATCTTACTTCCAGATGGCTTAATCGTGGCCGGTCCAGGAGAGAGGCTTCGTACTGTGATAACGTTCGTTCAGCCAGATTGAGATTTGGCCCCTTTAACTTAGTAGCTGGGCCTGCTCCGTCAAGTTGCTCGACCAAAGGCCTCGGTTTTCAATGCTGTGAAACGGGGATAAGAGATAGAACCCAAGAATACAACTACAGCACCTGTCCCCTTCAGGGTGTGTGAGCTCACACCAGCACAATTCATTTGAGACCTACGGCTTTGGGGTCCTTTGCCTTAACAGTATCAATTCTCATCTAATTATACCTCTTTCTTCCCTCAACTGCAGTTTAACCAGCCTTCTCCCAACTTCTCTCTGCCACCAAGAAAGACCCTTCCTGGGCGGCCGTAGCTATTGCATGTGAACACTTCTAAAAACATAGCTCCAGCATCCCTCTTTGCCACTGAAGTATTGAATTCTGTGGATTGGAAGAAATAAAAGTCTCTCAGTGTGCATATGTGATGAGGAGACGGCTGAGTGTTTAGGATTCTGCTTCATGGCTGTGATCTCGGAAACAGGTCTCACATACGCACATTGCTTCTTCTTCCCTCTCCTGTAACACAGGAGAGTGTCTGACACAGACACTTGCTTCCTTATTTCATAGAACATTGACCACTCCAGGCACTGAGAGTCCTTATAGACAAAGTCTGTAGGGCAGCTGTCCCCCTTTACCCACCTAGGGACACAAGTTAAAAACCCAGTAGTCATTCGTGATGTCTTCTTTCCCCCAACGTACATCCAATGGGTTGCACCCTCCTGACCTGTTGATGCTAGTACATGTGGACCTGGCCCCTTCTCCATCCCCACTGCACTCACTGTGACCAGTTAAGGCAGCTGTCGCCAACCATGCCCACCCTTGGGCTCCTCCACGTTAGCAGCCATGCTGCTGTCCAATGCAGTAGAAAACTGACTTCAAATAAAGCATGATTCTAACCCTAACTCTGCTTCTCATAAACCGCTCTGTAACCTTCAGAATAAAGTCCTTTTTTTTTATTACATATTTATTTATTTGGAGCGAGAGAGAGCGCAAGCGAGGTGGGGGGGTGCTAGAAAGGAGGCAGGCAGAGAGAGAGAATCTATGGCAGGCTCCACACCCAGTGTTCCGTCGGACACAGGGCTCCATCTCGCAATCCTGAGATCATGACCTGAGCCGAAATCAGGAGTGACTTCACCGACTGAGCCCCGCAGGCGCCCCATCAAGTCCATATTATTTAACAAAACCTATAAAATCCATTATGACCTGGCACCGAGCTACTTTTCCAGCCTCATCTCCTGCAACTGCCCCCCCACCCCGCCGCCAGCTCTCTGCTCCTCCCTTTTGTCTAATCAGCTGTCATTTCTTTCTGTAAATCACCAAGAGCCAGCCTCTTTGTTGTTTTATCCTTCGCAGGGTACCCAGCACACAGACACTCAAATACTTGTGAATTAATAATCACCTGCCCTTTTTTTCTCATGAAATATTTTAGACTTTTCAGAGTATTTTATTTTTTAATATATCATAACTGATATTTATTGTACAGAATGCAGAAAATGCAGCAACGTTGGGAGAGGAAGATAAGCCACCTGAAATGTTACCAGTCAGAAACTGGGCTGTTGATATTTTTATGCATTTCTTCCTTTAATTTTCCTAAAGGGCCATTTCCAGTCCTCATTGGCACAGTCTCTCTGTATCATGTAGAAATGCCCATTGCGCTGCCCATTTTCCATGATGTCTGAGTGACTTCCCTCTGTCCTGTTCTGTTTCTTGGCCGGCTCCTCTTCTGCTGCCAGCCCCCTAAATTATGGTGTTTCCAGACATTCCATCTTAAACCCTTCCATTTTCTCATTCCACGTGCTTTCCCTTTGAGTGCTCTCACTCAAGGCCAAAGCTTCAGATAGCTTTATTTGGTGTTAGCTCCAAAATCTGTAGCTTCTGAGGGCTGAATGCATGACCTCCTGGACGGTCCTTGGGTTCAACGAATTATGCACATCTAAAACTGAGCACATCACATCTTTCCCAACAATCTTGTATATTTGTCACCTCGCTGACCCACCCAGCAGACTGGCAGACATCCCTGACTCCTGCCCTTCCTGAGCCCCCTGGAGCTCCCGGAGGCATGGGTACTGTTTCCAATTTCTCAGGCCCCTGAACACATAAAGCATGGGATGAATTTCACTCTGTTCTTATGACCTTGATGACGTATCGCTACAGACCAAAAGTATAAATACGCCCCCCAAATCCACATGGTATTGATATACACAGTCAAGAAATATTTCTTAACCCTTTGATGAGATACATACACTCATAAATCTCTGGAAAATGGATTGATGTAGCAAAATATAATCTTTTTGAAAGTCCCTGAATAAAGTGACCTTTGCCATTCCAAAGAAATTTGACCAGACACCTTGGACTAATGCAAAACCATTGTTCAAGCAGTCTTCTGTAATGAAATGAGAGTGATCTCCTTAGTGAGGTCTGTTAATGTTTCACCTGTGGAATGGAACCTTCTAAAAGATCAGTCTGCATGCATTAGAGCTAATTTCTTTTCAAGGAAGTTGAGTCAGAGCAGTGATTGGTTGGGCCTGTAGTGATTGATCTCTGTGCGGTGAAGGATTTCAACTAAGGAAGAAATTTAAAGATACATTCAAGGTTAACCTCTTTCAGATGGGTTTTTCATTTATTCTTCTAACAAGAATGGTTTGATAAAATAATCATTTAAATAGCAAATATTTATTAAATGCCCACAAACTTTTCTCAGCGCTGGGAATACAGTACTGAACCAAAACCATTGGAAATCTTGGCCTCCGGAGAAGGTTTCTTATAGTCTAGTAAATTGGCATGTTAATTTCCATTACATTGTCCCCTCCATCTATAACCACATTAAAGTTAAGAATGTGCAATACAATGGCTGGCTCACTAAAGTGTTAAGTATTTGTAGTTCTGATTAAATCAGTAGTCTCTCATCCATCGGTCAATGGATGTCCCAATCCTCTCCACCTTATCAATGATACCACTCTGTTCTGGTCACAAAGCATCTCCTTCATGGTGTTATAATTCAGGGGATTATAAAATCATAGAAAAGTATTCCACATGTGTAAGAGCAGTTGGACCAATACAGAGTCATAGACTATAGTCCTGAACTCCAGAGAATATTATTGTGAAGTCCACGTTAAATAAATATACAGTCAAGTTGGGTTTTTGTTGAGACAATAGAACTTTGATGACATTGAAAAGCACTCAGTCAAAGTTCAAGGATCAGAGGCATCAAGTTGGAGAAATTCTTTTTTTTTTTTAAGATTTTATTTATTTATTTGAAATACAGACAGATCACAAGTAGGCAGAGAGGCAGGCAGAGAGAAAGGAGGAGGAAGCAGGCTCCCCACTGAGCAGAAGCCCGATGTGGGACTCGATCCCAGGATCCTGAGACGATGACCTGAGCCGAAGGCAGAGGCTTAACCCACTGAGCCACCCAGGTGCCCCAAGTTGAAGAAATTCTTGACTATTACCTCATGTAATGCTTTCTCCCACTTCACTAGAAACTGAAATGAGGCTCATTTTGTTGCAATTATTCTCTGAAAGTCATGAATTTAAATTGAGTGATATATTGCCCAGTCCTTAGTAGTAAATATTAACTTTGTCCTGTTCTGATGAAGTAAGGGAAAAAATATTCTTTAAAATTGCCAGGATAGGGCACCGCACCCTGGCTGGCTTAGTTAGTGGAGGGTGTGACTCTTGATCTGGGGGGGGGGGGGTTGTAAGTTCAAACCCCACATTGGGTGTGGAGATTACTTAAAAATAAAATCTTTAAAAGTAAATAAATAAAAGGAAAAAATAGGGTGTGTATGTGTGTGTGTGTGTGTGTGTGTGTGTGTGCATGAGAGAGAGAGAGAAAAGGGGAAAAGAGATTATCTTGTCTAAAAGCAAGGTTTACATTTTGAAAACTTCGTAAATCGTTTTTTGCTAAAATTTCTCTATTCCATCCCACATAGCTTTGAAATATTCATCACTTCTTCAAGGTGATAAACTATAAAATAGTACTTTTATTTTTCAAGTCAAAAGG